GAAAATGGATGAACAATAATAGTCGGGGACGGTGGACTGTCATTTGCAGAAGGAACGTCCAAGATTGATACAATTGTTTGATGGTTTGCAAATTAACTGTTTACCATATGGTTTTCATATTTCATTGAGATATTCTGTGATTTTGAACTTAAATACATTCGATTGTCTGCACTCATGTTCTTATTCACTACACTATCAAATTATGTTTCAGAAGACAGGAAAATTAAAGGTACGTCAGATGCAAATTTATCAGTAGGTAAATCGAAAGGCGTGATGAATACATTTAAGATTCTTCTATATGACAAGGAAAGTAAGTTATGTTTAACCAGTTTCTCGTCATATAGGAGTTTTGAGGTCCTGAGAACGTGTTCAATTTCGGTTCTTTGAAACTATTCGCACAGCTCACTGTCCTTCTTTGCTCAAAGGCTAGCCGCCCGCATGCATCACTCGAGTTTAGGATGAACAAACACTGTTTAGAAAGTCGAAAAGGTTGTAACATCTGCATAGCTGAAAGCCCTACGTAATGATCAGAGGATCCTAAAACTAACTATGCTGACTCACTACACAGGTTGTGTGTAGATTTTAAAGTTTCCATCCGAAAGTTCGATTTAGGTGCTGTAAATTTGTTCTGGATTCGGACCTCTACATTACCTCATTCCTAAAACTGTATTTCTGTTATCAGATTAACATACATAAATCCACCACTAGGATGAAATAGTAATTTTTTCCGTTAGTTCAATAAACGAATTAGAAATATTGATTGGAAAGGTTGAATGTTGTTTGAACTTAATGACAATGTGTTTGTTCATTTAACATGTGCGACGACGCTGCATACCACGTGAAAAGGTGGACACTAGGATGATGCATGGCAGTTTACAATAAGTCTTATCTTAGATACAGCATGAGAAGCTTCTGGGCTTAATTTTCGCATTTTGAATCTTGAAAAATGTTCATGTAAAACGAAGTAGGAAACTATGTTTATTGTTGAGCAAATCTGTCAACTAACGAAAAAAACGGACAAATGTGGGATCAAAAATTAAATCCAAGGGAGATACAATCAAAATAGAGAGACAGATTATGGGACGTTAAAGGTCATTAGTAACGAATCAAGATCGAGACCGATAGGGAAGACTTTGGATTATATGTAGAAAAATCTAAGTACTTCACTCCTACTAAAGCTTGTGTCGATGGTGTTTAGAAGGATGATGGACGATCTACAACCAAACCACCCAGATCAGAGGGCAAAATTACAAAAAATGTTATGGTTTCTTTATTTGCAAAGTGAATCGCTGTTAATAGAGCATTTCCAGCATATGAAAGTAAAAGCTAAATTAAAGGAAACGATATGATGCTGAATTATTTGAAAGTGTGGACGTCAGTTATAAGTTAAACGGCTGGTATGCTGATAGTATATAGACTTGGGTTTGACCAAATGGTCAAACTACAGTCAAATAACCCTTTACAATCTTTTGATAATACTTACGATGACAACAAAACCTTTAAGGAGATATCTCCATTGTTAGTAACTGTACTTTTTATTAGCTGATGGCTATATACCGAAGTGTTGTTCATGCTTGAGTCCTATAATTAATAATGACACATAGTAACTGCCGTGAGTTGATCATTAACCCGTTTTCTATTTTCTGGACTATATGACTCCCCGACATTGTGGCTGGAGAGGGGTGAAAGGTTCTCCGATTGAACGCTAGATTCGGTTCCTAAGGTCTTCTAGTAAACCCGAGGCTAAATCTACACAGCGACTTCAACACGAGAGAAAAGGTGCAAAATAAGGAAGAAACGCTTTACTCCAAAGATTCGTATACGTACAGAAAATCCATGGATTTTATAGTATTTTGGACGGCCTTCGGTTTCTAGGAAACTCTGGAACGATATTAGAGATGGTAACAGCATAGGAAATTATTCATTCCGTAACTCGACATGCGACTTATCACTTTACAAATGTTTCTGTCGAGACGTCTATTGAATGATGATTGGATAAGATGCTTCTCAGAGTTTTCAGAGCCTTTTTAGCGCTTTTTTCAAGGAGTCTTCTTGATCTTCTCAATAATGTGTTTGGCTACATGGCATACAATCTGAAGGCGTATACGAACCGTAACCAAAAATATCAGAGTAACATTTAAACTTTTTGTACTCCTCTGGGTTCAGAATCATAACGAAAGAAATAAGTAGCGACGATGTACTAACCAACCCTTCCGAAATAACAAAAGTCACTTTGAAATCAGATACACGACACACAAAACCATTAAAATATAGGTGAATAAGAGAAGACTCCGTAATGTATGCCATTCATATGTCATAACAATTTCATGTAAACACATTTGATTTCATAAAAGAGAGTAAATGACAAGAGAATACACCTGAGTAAGAATATGAATATCACTACGATATGAAACATGGGGAACAGAAACTTCGCATAAATTGGTCGAAACGTACGATGAAATGTGGTTAAATGTGGATGGTAGACGCAAGTAAACGGTGAGTTCTCTTCTGTCGTAGAAATTCTTTTAAATGGGAAGGGTTACCGCTTTATCTGTACTTAAAAACACCGCCGCTGTACACTGAAGACAACCTGCATTTCTAAGACACTCAGTATCTAGTTGGATATTTGCCACCATTTTTTATATCCTACTCATAGGAAATACATGATGAGTAGCGCACTTGATTTCCCACCAACCACATGAAATACGTATTCCCTTGCACTTACACCCATGGTTTTTACACACATTACACTACAAATATGGTAAGCATATAACATGATCATTTTGTTTGGTGTATTTCAGTAGCAGGATGCTTTATGGATCTAGAAGTTTGCATTCGTTCAATTCTACAACACTTTCACCTAGTTTTCTGATTTAATGTCGTCGGATGGTTCCTTTCTAAGGTTGTTTTAAGATTTTGTTGTGCATTCTCACGTTGTGAGTAATTTATTTCGAGGACGTATTCATAATCCTGCTTATTGATACATTCTAATTCTGGTCTCTTGTATTCAATCACAAATCCCTTAAACTGTCTCCTTAAAGCGAAAAATGGAAGGTGCCATTTTTAATCGTTTTTCAAGGACAAAGGTCAAAACTTGGAAATAAGTTCGTTTACAGTAGCATATTTTAAAGAAGTTACTAACTTCTAATAGTGACATGGAAGTTAGCATTGCTAGTAAATTAATCATAAATTTAATGTCGTAGTTTCCAACTTACTGCTCTCATCCAGATTCTCAGTCGTTGATCACATCTTTTGTCAGATTTTTTAGTTCTCACTCTGCTCTCATCTTGCTCAATTTTCAACACCCATGCAGGCTTGCGTAATATTAATGTATTTCAAGTATATTATTATTGTTATCATTACTCACAAACATCTTACAAATGGAATTTGGGTAAGGATGGACAGGCTAGAGAGAATTAAAGAACTGAAATATCAGTACTATCGGAACAAGTTAAAAATCCTGAGAAACTGAATGTCGTAAACTTTGGTTCGTACGACTATATCAGACCCCAGTCAGTAGTGGGGATATCAGGTCAGTGGTCATGCATTAACTCTAGCAGCATTTTTATTAACGAGCACTCAACTACTCCTTGAAAGTGATAAGTAGTAGGGATAATGACGTGCTCGAGTACGGCACCATGGAACACAACTTTTTTTCATCGATCACTCGCTGACAAAAGAAGTCCCTTGGAATTTATCTGATCGAGGTTTCTGAACCGCCTTCCTGCAGCCTGGGGGTCAGCTGAGTCTGAATGGAACTGAAAGGTGAGATGCAGAGTATCAATATAAGATCACCCATTCAACGATAAATATATACAAATCCACTAGACGACGTGGGTTAGTGTGATGTTTAAGAGTATTTGAATTATAGTATGAACTAGCAATAACGCAATTTATTCAAAAAGTATTTGTATTTAAAATTCAAAATAAAAACAGTCATCAATATAAAGAAATCATTGATTCATATAAACACCATAGTTAGTTGGTTGGTTGCAATGTCGAAGTGAAGTCTCACATATGTGGTGTATGAAGTCCGAACGTGTCAGATCTGAGATAAATGTGATCAGCCTCAATGATTACTGTTCTCTAGATTCTGACACCATCTGTAAACTACGTTGTCTTTGCAATGCATGGACGTAGAGAAGGAAGAACAAAGGATCTAAGACGGTACCTCGGGTTATACCAATTTTAACCGATGTCTACCTAGATTGTGTTCGATTTACCTTCCATCTTTCTTCTACCACAGGAATTTTCTTGTCCTCTCTTGTATGACATTTGCCATACCAAAGCATGGGAACCTCTATATAGGCCCTGATTGAGATACTTCACCTAAGTCTACGAATATCACATCAACAGACGAAACACTACCCTGGGATTCTGTCCGATCCTCTATCCCTAACAGTAAGTTTTGAAGCATGAATCTCTATACCGAAACCCATGTTGCTTGAAATAAACAGATCGTATGATTCTGCATGACTTAGCAATTTAGCCCAAGTTATTTTTCCTAAGCTACACGACTAGACTGGGAGGTCTGCAGTTAAACACGATCTGTCTCTCCCTATACCAAAATAAAAGACTAACTATAGCGTATTACCAGTCCGTGGGGAGTTGCATCTAGGAAAGATATTTTGAATAGAACTGTGAGGGATTACGAAATAATGTCCGCGAAGAATGACAGAAACCATGGACGTAACACATCAAGATCAGGTGACGTACCATGTACGAGATTTTTGATCATGGGAAGAGATGATCCCTCAGTTACATTCAACGGTCTAACAGCTAGTATAGCAGGAGTATGATTATGAGAATTGACAATAAAAGTACCTGTAAGATATGACTTTGAGGGATTATTCGATAAAGTCTCAGGTTTGGCCAAATCTGATTCAGCTAGTATATCATATATTGCGTCAACAAATGATGGGGAAATTCCATATTTACATCTTTTTTTGTTCAGTGTAAGAAAAGAATCACCCTGAGCAAGCGCAGCTGTCGTAATTCAACTGCGTTTATAAGATGTGCTGCACTTAGCCATTGGTTTTTACATATATTACAAACATTTCGGTAACTAATCTTAAATGATTCATGTTCCGTTACCAAGAATGAGTTACTCAGAGATACATTATAATTATAAGAGATTCAGTTGCAAACTTGAAACGACACCGAGATAAACAGTACAAAGAGCTGATGAATACGTGCCAACAAATTACTTCGTCAAAACCATATTGAATATAAACGATACGAAGATTATAGAGATTTAAGGTCGTTTATATTAGGCGAAATTTCAAAGTGTTTTCTTCGTCTGGTTTATGTCTAACTGGTTGGTTGAGATTTGGGTCACGTAAGCCGGTTGTAGTCCAGTTCGTATGTGGGCTGTTCAGTGGATATGAGAATACCGACAGCACAAAGAATATATCGGAATAGTAATCAATGTTTCTACTACGATTATTCGAAATTCGCTTCTGCCAAGGTTGAGTTTCTTAAACGAAAACAAGATCGATCTGGCTATCTACATGTTGACAGTTTCAGAAAAGAAATTCTTCCGACTTTTAGAATTGTGGAACTTCGCCATGGCAGACTAAGTACCTGTGTTGCTATTTTCGTTCCACCAAATCGCTACACTACGCGACCGTTCTCCCAAATATCAGAGTCAAATGAATGTTAGTTGTTAATAATAATCATAGTGTCTTTTTGATTGGTATGTTTCACACCGAAAACTAAGGGATGAAATAGAAAGGTTCTGAAACGAAAACAGCAAAATCTAAACAATCGCTCAAGTATTGTCTCTTATGAGTCTAGATATCGTTTAGCAAGCTAATGATGATCTAATAAATTGCTTCTATTGTTGCAACTCTTCCTTTAATTGACCATAGTTATGTTATGCTGAGACCATGACTACTGAGGCTACGCATCCCATTTACACTATGTGATTTACGTTCCTACTTGAGATTTATTATTTGTTGAGTGCGTTCAGCAAATACCCTGTGAAAGGTCAAGGAGAAAGCCAGTGGGTGAAATTCCGTGAGATATTGGTGCATTGTGCTTGTTCATTATCGTTATCCACTCGACTACTAACAGATCCTATGTCAATAATTAAGCGCTAATGAAATATCTTTTTTAATTCGTTTTACTTTGGACTTTCGCTACTTGTCTATACATTTCCATCAGGTGTGAACAGATTATTTCCTCTATAGGACCACACAGTCTCCTTTAGTTTACTGGATATTGGAATATAATCCCCATAATCGTTCACAGTGTGAGTAGAGGTCGACTACACCATTAATTTAGGTGTCGCTGAGCCAAAATGTTTTGTAATTGTTCGGATTCTGTGGAGTAGGATAAGCAAATTACTGTAACCATTGGAATTGGGTTTCAACTGCTAATTGATCAATAAATGCTGCAGTTTGCTTTCTTTTCCATTTGTTAACTTTTTTCGATTGCTTAGCTGCAACGTAGTCGTCCATTTATTAAAATGTAAACTATTTTTTCACTAGTTTGAATATATTCCACTTAAATTGGGTCGCTTACTCAATATATAGTTGTTGAAAGTCATAGCTTTCTACTTAAACAAGTAATGTTAGCACTATTGATACTGAACGGCGATTTTAAAGAATTTATTGGTTTCATACTTCTCAATAAAAATAAGAAACAAGAAGTTCACGAAAGCGTTTCTTTTCAGACGATTCTTCGTTCGTTTTCATACTTCCATTTTAACATCAAACATTTTAATCCTATTTCGTCGTGCTCATATGTAGCGAATGTGGATGATGCACTTTCACCCAGAATACACGACTTTTAATGACAATATCAAGCTGCAAATCAACATATTACGCGATTACCTGCTAGTTTATGCCTCATAACCTTCGTGGAGGAACGTACGCTACTCACCAGTATCTACTGAGCATTCCTTTCCAATTCGTTCCAGTTGCTATTCATCCTTTTAATGTCTGCTTCCAATTCCCGACGTAATGTGTTCCTTCGTTTTCTTCTTCTTTCGCCTTCAGGATTCCAAGTTAGCGCTTGTATCGTGATAAAGTTTGATGGTTTCCGCGATGTATAGTCTGTCCACCCCCATCGTTTTTTCCTAATTTACTCTTCAGCTGTAAACTGATTTGTTCTCTTCTTTCACAGTAGGCTGTTTCTGATGTTATCGAGCCAATGGATCTGGACTACTTTGCGCAGACAATTATTTATAAATACTTGCACTTTTTTCTGATGGATGTAGTAGTTCCTTAAGTTTCAGCTCCGTACAGTAGAAATGTCTTGACGTTCGTGTTGAAGATTCTGACTTTGATATTGGTTGACAGTTGTTTAGAGTTGCATATGTTCTTCAACTGTAGGAATGCTGTTCCTGCTTTGCCAATCCTTCAGATTACATCTGCATCGGATCCTCCTTGTTCATCGATGATGCTGCTGTCCAGGTACGTGAAAGTCTCCACCTGTCTCAGAGCTTCTCCACCAGATGTGATTGAGTTGGTGTTCTTCGAGTTTTGTTTTAGAATGTTGGTTTTTTCTTTGTGTATGTTGAGGCCAACTGGTGCAGAGACTGCTGATGCACTGACTGTCTTCAACTGCATTTGTTCGTTGTGTATGGGATAGAAGAGCTAGGTGATGTGTGAAATGCAAATCGTGTAGTTGCATCCAAACAGTTGATTGTATTCCGTGTTTCCCCCGATATGTGGAGGACTTCATAATCCGATTGACTAGTAGGAGAAAGAGAAAGGGAGTAATTACTCACCAATATGTGACACCGTTCGTCAATTGAAATGGATCTGTGAGCTGTCCCCGATTCACAACCTGGCAGTGTAGTCCGTCATATGAATTCCATATGATGTTGACGATGTTTGCAGGTACACTGTAGTGTGAAGAAAGGATCCATAAGGTTCTCCTATCCATTCTGTCAAATGCTTTTTGATGGCCAAGGAGGTAGACATATTGTGACTAATTCCATCTAATTGATTGTTTGATAATGATCGTTAGTGTCACATTTTGGTTTGTTCACGACCGATCCTTATAGAATTTGGTTTTTTGATCTCGAAGCTGAGCGTCTACTGAATCGTTTATCCGGTTCAGAATCACTCCTTTGAAAACGTTTCCAGGTGCTCATAGTAGTGTGATTTTGGTGTAGTCCTTACATTTGCTGAGATCTTTGTTTGGCATTTGATGAGATATCATTCTTTCTAGTCTGTCGGTAGTGTTGCTGAGAGCTATCTTGGATTGGTTGAGTTTGTCAGTATATCGACGGAAGACTGTTTTGGACTTTCGTAATGCTTTTTCTCCAGTTGTCCAGTGCTTCCTTATCTTGAGTTTGCTCTTGGCAACCACTAGGTGGTGATTGGAATCTATGTCAGCTCCTCTCTTAGTCCTCACGTCTTCCATTGACCTTCTTATTTTTTTACTGGTGCGAATTTGATCGACCTGGTTCTGTGTAGTGTGATCCGGTGAGACCCAAATAGCTTTGTGTATGCGTTTGTGTGGGAATATTGTGCCACCTATAACCTTTTTGTTGAAGGGACATACATTTGCAAATCTGTCACTATTCTCGTCCCGTTCTTCCAGTCAGTCGATGTGGTCCGATGATATCTCTATAGTCGGAGTTGTCGATTCCAACCCTGATATTTAGGTCTCCCATTGTGATGAGACTTTTTGTTGGGCATTTCTCTTCTATGAACTGTTGTCTCTGACAAAACTGATTTTTGTCGCTTTTGTTGTTATCATTAATGTGTGCATACCACTGGATAACATTCATTATAATTACTTCCTTGTTTGTTTCGAAGGATGCTTTGATGGTTGTGGGTTTCAGTCAGTCAGTCAGTCAGTCACAACGTAGAACTTCGTACGTACGTACATCAGTTCGAGTTGCCATACCACATTAGCACAGAGATGCAGTTGTCGATTCAAATCCCATAGTGGTAGAAGTAGTAGGAGTATAATCAGAAATCCAAAAGATTAGGGTTTGAAGAAATTATTGAAGGAGTATAGTACAGTGAAATAAATTTGGAAAGAGAAAAACATAAAGACATGAGGAATTCAGAAGATTAGAATTTGGTAGAACACAAAGAGTGGATGCATCTTCGCCATTGCAAACGATTTTGAGCCATGTCATTCAAGGTCTCTAACCATCGGTTGCTGTCATCTCGCGAATCCCAACCAGGTAGTCTACACCTACCAACATGGTCGTTATGCTCAGAGCCAGGTGGGATGAGTTTATAAGATGGGTTTATAAGATTCCCATCCTATGAGTGCTTTTTGTGCTTGTTCGGACAGCATGAGAGCAACCCCATGCTTGTGCGAATCATTTTCTTCTACATGATTAGAGTACAACAGCATCTCTCCTTGATGTGATCATTTTTGTCCAGCTTAGGTCCATTGTGCTTCAGTTATTCCGATAACGGCCAAGTAGTATCTCCTCATTTTTGTAGCCATTTGAATGGTTCATCCGGTCTCCCACATTTTCTGGACACTCCATGTACCTATGTTGATTGTTGCACTGGTTGTCAGAAGAGGCAGCGGCCTCGTGAGTTTTGAAGTCTGGGCTTTTACCATGAGGCGTCATAATTGTTCTGAATGTAGATCGTTGTACTGGGAGGTCAAAGTTTAAATGGTTTTGAATTGTCTATTCTGGTTTGTGTTTTTTTTAAAGAGTTTGTTTTCTACGGGATAGTGTTGCCGACCTTATCATCTATCCTACTGCTTCACCCGGAATTGTGACTGGCAGTAACTCTAAAAGAGCTCTAAGCGAAATTATACTACGTCATAGACCTGTAGTATTATCATGCATATATATATAATTTATGGACGACTTAGTGTCTCTATTTAAATCTAGTCTTACCATAATATTATCTTGTTTTTACATTTGTTGGCGTTATTTTAGGTTCCACATATAAACGTTATGTACTGTTATTGGGTTTGACAGCTGGATTAATTAGTCTTGGGTCGCTCTGGTTATACAACTTATTTGAGTGGTGTTCAGGTGTAAGTGCCTCTTAAATTTCCCTTTTTTATATACTCGTCAGTCATTCGTTCTAGGTTTATTCGCAGTTTATTAGTGCTTGATTTACAAACTACTTCGGAAATGTTAGATTTGAAACAAATTTAAATTGCAACACACCGTGTTCTCAACCTCACACTATTATTTGTAGTTTATGTTTTCGTGATTTGAGAATTCCTTTCTCACCGCTGTTGTAAGGAATTCTTAAATTTCCAACCGAGAATTCTGGGGCAAGTAGAAAATCATATTAGGTGTGTACCTTAGTTCACACTTTGATGTATTGCCTCAAGGCTACTTGATCAACGATAAAATGCTGTCTTTGTGTCAGTGAATACGATTACGGTGGGTTGTCAGTAAATATTCTTAAGGAAAAAATCTGATAAACGTACTGCTCGATTCATTCATAAACAGACTTGAAATTCGCCTGGTCTTTTCAGGTTTGTTGTTTCCGAGCATAATATCTCAATAACTTTCGTAATGTGACTTATTTACCAAGTACAGGTTCTCGCACTCGGCTTGAAGTCACTCTGACAGCACTATCTAGCTAGATTATATCTATTGACCACCATATTTAAAAGCCTGCAAATATAACCTATCAAATTTTACTCCCTTCTTCACTATAAAATCAGGAGACTTATTGTTGATTTCTGATCTGTCATTTTTAGCGGTATTTTCAGTAATATAGCTTTTATTGGTCCAGACTACCTAGTGTTAGCTTTTGCTACTTCCTTTCCTGCCTCTTGATTTTGTTGCTTAATACTCATGATAACTGCTTTGAGTTTTGACAGTATCTAAAGTCTGGGACGATGGTTTTCTGAATCATATTGTCTTTCCTAAAATTCTAAATGTAATCTACTTACCTCGTGACGAAGATCTATAAACTTTCCTGAACGTTCCACTCGTTCTTCTTTAATTTTACACTTAATATTTTGATTACAGTTCTGAGCTTTACCCTTATTTTCCTGTAGTAATGTTTCTGAGTCTAACAAGCACGGGCCCGCACGTACACTTACTCAGGCCCAATCAGAATCCAAACACATACATTGGAAGGAGAAAAGGTCGTCTACCGACCATTTTTAATAGTGGTCATGGCATGCATTACAAATGTCCATTTTCCGCCTTAAAAGATAATTCTGTGTCTTTAATTGTGAGATCAAATGAAGTTGCTATCACATCTGTTTATTCTTTTATTAAGTCGCGATAGTAAGGTTCAATGAACTTCACTAGGTTATTTTATGAGTCCTGTGGCTTGAGGGTAGACTAATGTTAAGGGATTCCTTGATTGTTGCCAGTGAGACTTATTGTTTAATTCGAAGGGGTTCGAACAATGAAAGCCTTAACGTATAGCTTAGAGAGCTTATTCAGAAGAACAGTGGTAGCATTTCACTAATATCAGTAATATGATCAAAACTGTAGAACAAGGAAGGGATTTAGTTTCTGATAGGTTGAACTCACGTGTTGTCCGTGTGAGGCAATTAGCAATTTCTAGGAAACTATAACTTGAAAGAATATTTCTCACCGAATGTGTGAAAGCAAGTAGATTAGTGTTTGCTGCTTCACTGATTTAATAGAGGGATCATAAACTAAACTGAGAAAATCTCTGCAGCTGGAAACATCGTCTTTCTAGGTAATAGTTTTTGGTTGTCTAGTGCTAGCTCTGTAATTTTTAAAGCCCCTTTGAGAAAACTGAAGGCATCTGGAGTAGTGCTGTATGGTTTTTACTATTTATATTTACCAACCAATTTTTTATCTCTAGCAATTCGATATCGCTATAGATTTTGATCACTCAGGTGAATCCTCTGTAACCGCCACACCTCGTTGTGTTTAACAGCATTATTTCATCTTTAGGCTTAAAATTTGTTGCCATATTATTATTCAGCCTATCTACCCGTTACATTACGCCTTCAAGTTAAAAACGTAACCGACAGAGCTTTATGTGGTCAGCTCAGTAGACCAGCATGATCGACTACTTACCTGCTACTGTCAGGCCAAGTGAGTGTAATTTATATTGAATTGTGGTATTTACATGGGAATGCTAGAGAGCAAAGAATTAGAAGTCGTTAAGACAATTTTCTTTACTTTCATTAGTATGTAAAATAAATAATAAAATGATGAGTTATTTTCTTATTCGTAATAGTTGCAAACCTTTGAATATCTGAAAAAGACACACCAAGTTTTCAACACAGATGAATCAGAAAGCAAAAGACAACTTTCAACTGGGAATGACGACAACTTTGATTTCAAACAAAGGAGTTCCAATTATTCAAAAAAGATGGAAAGCATAGTAGATACACAGGTAGACAAAAAGTATTTTGATTTGCGCTGTATCCATTACGATCGTAAACTTCCTTCGAAGTCTGAAGAAATATTTCCTATAAACTGTATCACAAACACTGATATTGTTATCATGAATAGCGCAGATCATGGGGTTCGGTCACATTTCTTATGGACTAGTGGATCCATGAATTGTCCTCATTATGGTTCAGGCTCATACAAGGTGATTAGTTTAAGCCTTTTTGTATATGCATCACTAAATTCTCATAATGTTCTTCTTAAAATGTGTTCCAAATCTTGAAAACATGAGTAGCTAATCATTCTGTATAATTACTTACTTCTTCCTTGTTGTAATAGTTTAGGTAATTTGTATTTCATATATATTTACAGCCTTTTTTATTTATTTTTCAATCTTAACAAAACACCTATCCACTTAGTGATTTCAGTTGAATCAGTTGTCTCTAATTGATCATAAACACACGTCATACTTTGTCTCATTTATGTTCTGTCAACAAACTTTGGAATATGTCGATTTCCTATCGTATCTCTTGATTATTCGGTTTATTAGACACAGTTTCTTATGCTGAATTAAGGATTCAGTGTCATGAAGTAAATAACATTAATATATAATATAAATAAGGTGGTATATGGTAGTAGTTGTGTCCCATTCAAGTGGGGATTAGTCGTATCATGCATACCTTGGGATGGGAACTTTATTGTTTTAAGGAAGAATATTTCTTATAGATTAGGTCGTATTTACCAGAATGAACTTTGTATTGTCTGTGGATATTCTAAATATTATTGATGGATAAAGTATTGGAACGAAACTGATTCGACGATATCACATGTCACAAAGGCAATTACTTAATAGATAATGTGTATTTCTATGTGATAGTGAACAATAGTTATCCAAAGCTTTGACAACGTTTTCACATCACAAATGTTAAAATTGAAGTGAAAGAAACCACATGTTCATGCAGAATCCGTATAATATAATTGCCATTCATCCATCCATCTATTCATATATATATATATATATATATATATATATATATATCTGTTGAAGGAATCCCTGCAACAGATTAGCACCGAATCCAAACTGTCCCAGGTTACCTTATACTGCTTAAAAGCCTAAACAATTCTGATCCATCTATCTTAAGACACTGCATAGCCGAAAGTCAAAACACTCAGGGTTGTAGGACGGTTTTTTGACATACACAACAGAAAACAACCAGACGGAGGCCACAGATTAACGTTCAAACCAGGAAGAAAACATGTGTATATTCAACCAACAGACAAACGCAGCGTATATATTGATCAAGAGTTGAATTAAATGTCCAAGATTAGGCTACTCTACAAAAGTGACGAAATAAAAACGGTTTGCATAGGTTAAAAAGAGTGACACTAAATGTTATCAAAAAATGTACAATATACTATCGTTGTATACTTCACGATTCCCCCACCAGAATACTGAAATATATTGCTGAAGAAATAGAAATAAGATTTAAGTGTCTACCATAGATATAGTATTCTTTTCATAATTAACCACATGCCCATATACTGTAATGCTACATCACTTTCCTCGGCCACTCTAATTTATTGTTAGTCAGAGCTAAAGCATTAAAATCGAAACACCTGTATTTTTACGTCCTCGGTGCCTTAGTCCAAAGAGCCTCACTTTACGCAGGGGCGAGTTATGTAAAATGCTCAAATTGGGAATTTTTTGACCTTCGAACAATTTAAGCTAAAACTAGTTTATTTTCATATTACTGATAGTTTTGTGTCATACACAGCGAAATTTTATGTGTCCTGTTATTTATTATTTAACGTTTCGAATATCTGTATTTTTCTAACACCAATAAAAGCTAAAATTATGAACCCAACCAGATGATAACTTGAAACCTTTTTTTCCCAAAAAACTGATATTTTGAAACTTTAAAAAGAAAAGGTTGATCAACAACATTCTGTGAATTAATGTAAAACACTGAAATCTCACAACCGTTGACATGAAATTAAAACATATATTGGATATTTCGAGACAAATTCGTAATTAATGTCAAGATATTTGTCATACTCATTACAGACTAACGCTCAATCCGATCTTCGTATTAATTAATTAATTTTAATTGCTTTTAGTCGTAGCTATTAGTCATGAAATTATCATGGTGTTATTTACTAGTAGCTTGTAAACTGTTGATTATTTCACTCGTTTACAGTTTATATCTGTAGCTCTATTTTAATTGGTTAACTTTCATCTATTAACCGGGTTGTTCAATCCTGTTTATCCCAATAATGTTCATTAAGTCCATCTTATTTATTTCCACAAAGAAGTGGATCTTTTATTGTCATAACAAAATTTCGATAAAGTGATCAAGATGTCTTTTAAACATGTAATGTCGTTTTTATAGGGTCATTACATCACAGCAAATTTGAAATACTCTGTGGAGTGTATTTTTTCAGCATATATATATATATATATATATATATATATATATATATATATTGTTTAAGTTAAATTTTTACCGCTAGGTATTTTGAAATAGATTCATTACTTAAATATTTTTCTTTGTGTACATTCCAGATCTGTACTATTTGTTGGCTAAATATGCCTGACTGCTGGCTTCATGGCCCAACATGGAGTTCTCTGAATTGTCAACTTGGTTCAAATAAATTATGGAGAAACACTAACCTTTTAGGACTTCTCATATGCTTGCAGTTAATATACAAAGCAATTTATTTAGCTTGTAGTAGTGTAACGAAACAATCTAAGTGTACACAGACTAGCCCTATATCTACACCGAATTCAATAAACAATGAGTATTCTGATCGTTTGCAGCAACTGTTGAATACTCCTTTTAAACTTGGTAAGTTTCCTTTGTACGTGTATAAGTCTTGTTTTAGTTAACATTTCCTGCCACAAAACATTACCACATATTCAGTATATTTCATAGTCGGATTTTGATTGGTTATTTATTTTGAATAATCATTTTTGTGATCAATTAAATGTCATAGTAGCAAAAACGTAGCTGTTTATCATTTCAATACTATCTATATTTCCTTGTGCCAATAGACACACTTATAATTATTGCAGTTTAAAATGGTTGGGATTCACGTTGTAAGAAAACAAACTGAAAGTATTTTCGCCAAACATTCTTTTGAAAGTATTTTTTTAAATGTAGGTTAAAGTATATGAATGATTGATACGCAGACCGATATTAAGGATTTTAAACCTTCTAACATTGCTGAAATCAGTAGTTAATTATTTCATGTAGTGATACTACGTATTGGTTTGATCAAAAATAATCTTTATTCAACCAAGTATTACTTTACTATTGAAAGTTGGGTTATGTGAAACATCTCATCAACTGATCTGCGATTTTTACCTTTGCCCTACTCCTAGCTTCAACATTGATAATAAGTTTCTGTGCCCTATGTTCAATTATTTTCATATCTTTCCTAATTTTTCTTATAGATGTTTTTCTTTGAAAATATTTTTCTAACGCAACCATCTGTTTACTTTGATCGAATATTTATTTTCTTCACGTGGAAATAGCCTATTGTTAAACACTAATCATATTTTTTGTTTTCTCAAAGTATAATAATCACTATTCGAAAGAAAATTCCATCTCGAACTGAAATCAAGTGGAGAACCATTTAAAACTGGTATACATTAAACAGTTGTTTCGTTGTGGTTTCGAACGTATCGCTTATGTTCATCTATAACCTCTCACATGAAATCAAACCTATAATCTTTAGGTTTCATATCTAACGAATTGTCATGCGTCCATCAAGTCGAAATCTTCGTCAGATGTTACTTATTAATATTGGTACTGCTTAGGGATTACTGAATAATGATCAGTTGCATTAAGTTATATCCACTAGTTTATCGTCGCTCTATAAATGTGCTTTCATAAATATCAAATATTTATGCATCACATTTAACGCCGGTTATCACTTCTTTTATTCTCATCGGATTTCAAACTTGATAAACTGGAGTACTATTAGACGAAATGCAAATTTTGTGCTAGACTCTACATTGATTATGACCGACTTTATCCTGTTACGCTGTACGGTCATCCGACTTAAATATTAATATAAACGCTTCCTATACACTGTCTCAACCTTCCATGTGAGTGGGGAGACTAAGAAGGTATAGTAAACTGTCTTGGTGAACGGAATCAAAATGTACTTAACTCGATTATATATATATATATATATATATATATATATATATGAACCAAACCCTGAAGAATTGCATCGAAAGCTTCAAACGCCAACGTCTCCTTTCACATTTCTCACTTAACATTTGACCTTATTATTATTATTATTAATGGCTTTATTCAATATTATAATCTGATACAATATAGAATTCTCAGCACGAGTTATTTCAACAAGTTTTTTTGCCAAAAAAACCAAAAAAACAAACAATAAAAACACAGAAAAGGAATGAAAAAGGTTTAAGAAAAAACTGAGTTTATACAAATTATCGAATTTGAAACATGCTTAAGAAGACAGGTTATTTACTAGGTCAACTCTAACAGCCTGTTCGTCACAAAGTAAATTTGCTAAGTAAGGTATTACAGAACTTTTATAGACTTGCTTGCGTGTATGGATTTTAATGTATTTACTTCTCGTTCTACCAGAAGATATACAAGGAGAAAGATATGAATGAAGCGGATGGTTAGTATCTGATAAGATAACACCTGCCAAGAGTTTGCAAGGCTTAAGATGTCTATCCACAAGCATATTAATAGTGACTTCAAAAGATTCACCACATACCTTGCAAACCGCCTTCAGCACTCTACGCAAAACAGCAAAGTCTTTTCTCAAAAGCTTGGGAAAGAATAATGGAGAACAATATAGAATAATAGGTAATATGCAGGAATTTACAAATTGTAAGAGTAAATGGCGAGTAATCCCAAAAGCATGCAGCCTCTTTATGTAGTATGTCAAACGGTAAACTTCTTTCGATAAGAGTAAAACATGAGAAGACCAAGAAAGATCAGAGGAAAAAATGACACCAAAATATTTGACCTTCGACACTGTGTTTATTAAGGAGTCTCCAATGGCACAAGCATTATGTGATCCCAAAATAGAGTGTAGGTTCTGTCCATGTCTCAAGCTAAAGTTAACAGCTTGACATTTAGTTGGATTGAGTAAGAGACCATTACCAACAGACCACCTTTCAATACGAGATAAAAACTCATTCATTTCTATGGGATGTAAGGAGGTAGAAATCGGCTGTGATCGTAGGCACATGGTGTTATGTGTGAATTTCTTCAGTCTATCATATCCTCGTCTACTCTTCACTGTTTCTTACTTTTACCTTCTCTAGTTTACCTCTTATAAATCTAATTCATCAAGTCTTCGGTTAAATTAAAGCGATTACATTTTGTGAGATTTCTTTCTTTGTATTGTTCAATTAAGTTGTTCCCACTGAACTTTTTTTTATTGAATCATCTTGTGTGATAAAATTTACCTTTCCTTATTCTTAATTGTATTTCAACATAATATGTTTCCTGCATTCAGATAAAATATCGGACTCAGAATCGACTCAACATGTTACAATTTTCTTTGCAAAGAGTTCTTAGTTCGTAACTCGATGTATTCTCATACTAAATTCGAAAACATTACATTCACTGATAGAACAGTAAAATAATATATAGCAATTTTTGATGTTGACATCATCAGCTGATGATGTCGTTCAGAAGGACGATGAAAGCTCCACGACCAAACCACCCAGCTCAGAGAACAAACCAACATCAAAATCACCCACCTGAGCTACAAATCTTCTCCACCATCTCAATATATAGCATTGCTAGTTAGATGTGTCATTTTTATAGTTTTAATTTTATATATTTACATAAGTAACCTTTTATCCAAAAATGAGTTCTCGTTAAACCAAGATGACTGGAGAAGACAACAAATAATAACACATGTAAAATGATGATTAAGGATCCATTTCTTGGATTACTTTCTGTGCACTATATGTTTTAATCAATTGTATACATTTTATGGTAATGTTTAGAAAACACAAACTATTGATTTAAATGCCGTTTGTCATCAATTATATCAATCAATAACTAAATTATATAAAGTTTTCTTTTCAAAAGGTAAACATAATTGATTCCTTTGATTAATTTAGGTAGTGCAATCAAATGAGAAAGTTTGTCATAACTATTTTCCAATTCGTTGTGTTTGACCTTCTATTTCCCATAGAAATATCTTAACAAACTAAAATGTGATACATGTGTTCGAACTACATAGTGCCAATTTACCACATTAATTTCGATGAACTACATATTCTCATTTACTTACACCTGAAGCATAGGGCGCTAAAGAGTATTCTCAAACCAACTCTATCATGGGCAATCCTTTCCAATTCGTTCCAGTTGCTATTCATCCTTTTAATGTCTGCTTCCAATTCCCGACGTAATGTGTTCCTTCGTTTTCTTCTTCTTTCGCCTTCAGGATTCCAAGTTAGCGCTTGTATCGTGATAAAGTTTGATGGTTTCCGCGATGTATAGTCTGTCCACCCCCATCGTTTTTTCCTAATTTACTCTTCAGCTGTAAACTGATTTGTTCTCTTCTTTCACAGTAGGCTGTTTCTGATGTTATCGAGCCAATGGATCTGGACTACTTTGCGCAGACAATTATTTATAAATACTTGCACTTTTTTCTGATGGATGTAGTAGTTCCTTAAGTTTCAGCTCCGTACAGTAGAAATGTCTTGACGTTCGTGTTGAAGATTCTGACTTTGATATTGGTTGACAGTTGTTTAGAGTTGCATATGTTCTTCAACTGTAGGAATGCTGTTCCTGCTTTGCCAATCCTTCAGATTACATCTGCATCGGATCCTCCTTGTTCATCGATGATGCTGCTGTCCAGGTACGTGAAAGTCTCCACCTGTCTCAGAGCTTCTCCACCAGATGTGATTGAGTTGGTGTTCTTCGAGTTTTGTTTTAGAATGTTGGTTTTTTCTTTGTGTATGTTGAGGCCAACTGGTGCAGAGACTGCTGATGCACTGACTGTCTTCAACTGCATTTGTTCGTTGTGTATGGGATAGAAGAGCTAGGTGATGTGTGAAATGCAAATCGTGTAGTTGCATCCAAACAGTTGATTGTATTCCGTGTTTCCCCCGATATGTGGAGGACTTCATAATCCGATTGACTAGTAGGAGAAAGAGAAAGGGAGTAATTACTCACCAATATGTGACACCGTTCGTCAATTGAAATGGATCTGTGAGCTGTCCCCGATTCACAACCTGGCAGTGTAGTCCGTCATATGAATTCCATGTGATGTTGATTAATACATTCTTTCTCGTACTTATCTCTGCATGATATGTTTTGTGTTGGGTTTTACGATTTCATCTTAATGTGTTCAACAACAATCACTCACTAATCGATATTTTGATTTCATATTATGGGAGGATCGGTTTTATTCAGTAGGTCTGTCTGTGAGGATCCACTCTTTTTGCAAATATATTCATTTCTACTATCAATTGGCCTATGTAATTGACTAGCTTAGTGCACCTGACAAATGTAATTCTAGTCTACATTACTAGTGGATTCACAGAAATTTGTATCCATTGGAAATCAGTTTTAAGATAAGCCTATAAATTTATGAATTCAAAATTATATGCAATGGCGTTAACTTTTCTCATCTTTCTTTATCTCGAACCGACTATAATTTAACAGAACTAAGTATTTGATTTTGAACCAGTGACTGAGTTCTATGAGGTTTGGAGCAAGATCTAAATGTTTTAGTTACACATTTTGAGCGGTAGTCGATCAACACTCTTCAGGAGCTTTAGACTGTCCAATGTTTTTCTTTCTTCAGTTGTGATCAGTTTCTGTGTAATGGG